TGTCCCTGAGCTCTGAGAGGGAATTTGGCACTCCCCAAAGCAGGGCTGAGTATTTTGCCTGCTAGGAACAAAAAAGGAGCGGTGGATGCTTAAACTCAGTGAGAAGAAGCTGCTCCTCTGTCAGGAAAAGAGGCGTGATCCCAACGGGAACATGGAGATCCCCTCTGGAAAAGCATTCCCAGCAGAGCAAGGGGATGGATGTCCCGGCCTTAGCTCGTTTCACCTGGCAGGAAAGGCAACACGGGCACTCCTCATCCTCGGCACGGGCACCGGGAATGCCCCTGGTGAAAAATGAGGTACCAGCAGCTCGGGGGACCCCAGGAATAGATAAATCCCCACAAAATCCCAGAAAATCAGGCTTTGCAGGAGTGGCTCCCTAAAGCAGCCTGGCCAACCGAGGGGCAGCCAGCACTGCTGCCTCCCTGCCCGATGCCAGCCTGGCAAACCTGAGCATCACTCAGCCCTCCTGAGCCTCCCGCGGCTCCTTCCAGAGCGGGATGAACCCCGGGGTGGATCCATCACCTCTCCAACCGCACTGCCAGAACAGCACCAAACTCCTCGGTGCTCTGGCTCAGCACTGGGCAAGCAGTGAGCTGCTCTCAAGGATCCCTTTTCCACGGAAATAAACCCACCTGGGGTGAGAGCAGAAGGCTCCAGCCCCCCCGGGCACCCGGAGCCGCTCCCTCCCTCCCCGGCGCGCAGGTTCCTCCTGGCCGGGGCCCAAGGCTCCCCCGCAGGCTCCTTTCGGGAGGAGCACCGCAGTGCAGGGGAAAGCAGCCAAGCAGAGGCTCCTGCGCGGCCCCGGGGTCCCTGTGTCCCCGCCGTGTCCCTCGGTGTCCCCAGCCCGCCTTACCCGATGCGCTCCTGCTCCATCTCCTCCATCTTCTCGGCGCGGGCGATCACCCGGTTGATGATTTCCTTCTCCTCGTCCGTCAGCTCCTCGCCCTTGCGCTGCCGCTCGGGCTGCGCTGCCCAGCCCGCCGGGAGCCTGCGGGCACAGCGGGATCAGCCACGGACCCAGCCATGGACCCAGCCATGGATCCAGACACGGATCCAGCCACGGATCCAGCCATGGACCCAGCCATGGACCCAGCCTGGATCCAGCCATGGACCCAGCCATGGACCCAGCCATGGACCCAGCCATGGATCCAGCCTGGACCCAGCCTGGATCCAGACACGGACCCAGCCATGGACCCAGCCACGGACCCAGCCATGGACCCAGCCATGGACCCAGCCATGGACCCAGCCATGGACCCAGCCATGGACCCAGCCACGGACCCAGCCTGGATCCAGACATGGATCCAGCCATGGACCCAGCCTGGATCCAGCCACGGATCCAGCAATGGATCCAGCCATGGACCCAGCCACGGATCCATTCCCACCCCTGGCTGTGCCCTGGCACCGATTCCCAAACCCCAAACCCATCCCACCTCCACATCCTCTAGACCCCAAACCCACCACCCCATCCTCCAGACCCCAAACCCAGCCCACCTCCCCATCCTCCAAACCCAGCCCACCTCCACATCCTCTAAACCCACCACCCCATCCTCCAGACCCCAAACCCAGCCCATCTCCCCATCCTCCAGACCCCAAACCCAGCCCATCTCCCCATCCTCCAGACCCCATCCAGCCTGCAATGACCCCTGCCACCCACAGTTGGGAGTTCTCCGTTTTTAGGGAGTTTCAGATGGAAATATTGGTTTCACACAGAGGGAAAAGTCCTTTTTAGACCCATTCCCATTATTTGCACGTTTCCTTTGGCACCCTGGAGCACCAGGTCTGCCTGGCAGCTGTGAGACCGAGCTGGTGGTGTGGGAGTGGGTGGCTTTTTTTTTTTTGGGAATGTTTCTCCAAACATGGGAATGTTTGTCCCTCTAACATCATTCCCAAAGATCCTCTCGCCCAGCCTGGGTGTCAGGCAGCACTAACCTGGTGACAGGGTGACGTCTGCCACTCAGGGGTGCAAAAAACTAACATTCCTCACCTTCCTGCTCATCCAAAGACCTTTCCTGGCTCTTTTCCCCTCTGGGTTGAACAGACCCACATGGTCTTGTGCCTTAAGTTCACGAAAACCCTGGGTGACACTTCCCAAACTGAATTTTTTTTGCCTCCAAACCCAGTTTTTTTTCCTGTTCCCAGACCATTAAAGCAGCAGGAAAAGAGGAATAAGAGGAAAATAAGAGATACTTACTGCTCCTTCTCACTGCTGGGAAGCACAGGGAAAGAGAGGGAATGAGGATTAGGTGAGAGCAGAGATGAGGAGAGCCCAGCCAGTGACACCTCCCACCTCAGGGTGACAGTCCCCAACTCTTTGTCCCTCCCCGTGGAGCTCCACCACCCCCAAAGAGCGATTCCAGACCTCCAGGCACCAAATCCAGGCTGGAGATGTGCTCCAGAGTGGATGTGACATCCCCTTGCAGGGTGACAGGACAGAGGGACAGCACCAGGTCCCTGCTCCGTCCCACCACCTCGCTCAGGGCCTTGAGGAGCAGAACACCCAAATGTCCCCGTGCAACAACACCAAACCAATTCCTGGTGTCCCCACGGGAAGAAGCGGTGTCACCACCCGCCGTGGGGCTGTCCCTGTGCCCTGCTGTCACCTGGCTCGGAGGGACATGGTCCTGTCACTGGGGCACATCCACCGGTCGGAGGAGCCGCCCAGCACCGCGTCGGTCATCGCCGGCCACGCCGGCCTCGAGTCTGGGGACAGCAGAGCCCCGCTGGGCGTCACCAACGGGACCCCACCGCTCTGCTCCCAGGTCCAGCCAGGCTGCGGGGGAAAAAAAAAACAACAAAATCCCTAAAAATCACGGTTTGTGGGATTGTAAGAGGGTTTGGAGCAGGAATGGCACTTTAGTCTGGGTATCGAGATGCAGGAGCCTCCAGTCACCTCCTTCCCATGAGGGCAGCACAGCCTGGATGGAATTAATGAATCGCCAACCTCACGTTAATTAGGAGGCTTCAGAGCCGGATGGGAAGAGGGGGATCAATTCCAGAGAAAGAGCTGCAAACAAGGAAACTTCCCCCCCAAATTCCAGCGTGCCTCGCTGTCCTCTCCCACACCACATTCCCTCTGGAAAAAAAAAAAACTCCTCCTTTCTCTTTTTGGTTTACTGAGGTTTTTGCCAAGTGGATCCAGGAGGGAAAACGCAGCACCAGGACTCCAAAAGGAGGATCTGTGCACTCCTCTCCAAAGGTTCATCCAGACAGGGTTCTTCAAACCCTTCTCATTAAAACCTCAATGGACACCAAATCCACAGCCTGATTGCTGCTTTAGTCTCATTTTTGGAGGGGTTTTGCCCCTCCACCCGCTGCTCCTATTCACTGCAGGGAGATGGGGATGGATGGATCCATTCATCCGTCACCTCTTCTGAGGGAAAACCAGGATTTGATAGATTTGCCTGCAGCAGAGCTAAAAAAATTAACAAAAAACTCTCTACAGAGCCCAGCCATGGAGAAGAAGGATGCTCCCAGCCCATGGATCATTCACCTGCCCTGGATTCCTCCCTGCCTGGAAGGGACCTCTCAGTTCATCCCACCAACTCCCAAAATCAGCATCCCAGCAGGACCAGACCTCTGCCCAAACTGGTAAATGAACCTTTGTAGGGCACGAAGCAACTCCAGCAAAACTCCAGCAGAGAAACTGGGGAGATTATAGCAAGGAAATGATGGAAAACGGGAGCTTGCACAACTCCGAAATGCCCAGCTCCACGGCAGGAAAAAACACCCAACTTTCCCAAAAAAAGAAGGGGAAAAACGCTCTGCAGGGGTTTTTTTGCACATCACTCCCTGAGGAGCTGTGGAGGCTCGAGGCTCACCTTGGCTTCACGGAAAACTCGGGGATGTGAAGAAGTATTTTTGGAAAAGCAGGAGAAGGGAAGCACGTGGGTAATTAGTGCTCTGCTGGTTCACGCAGCGCCTGTTCCCGAGCCAGAGCAGAAGGCTCTGATTAACAAGGTCACTTAACGAAGCAAATTGTTCATTTCTGTCCCCCCCACCGCCACCTCCACAACCCGCAGTGCAGCGCGGAATTCCCGCTGGGAATGAAACGTCCCGCGGGGTCCTGGGGTGGGCACAGATGGAACAGGGAGCTCGGGCAGCACCACGATGCCACCACCCCTTTTTGGGGACAGGCAGGTGGGTCAGTGACTGTCCCAAGGCCACATGGGGCAGGGACGTCCAGGAATGTCACCCCGACCCTGCAGCTGGGGGAAAGAGGGGGAAATCCTTGGTTTTTCCCAGCAAAAAGGGATCAGGGAGGAAAACTCTTTTGTCCAGCTGGAACTTTGTGCTAATAAGAGCGAGGCCACGAGCGTTCCGTTCCACTTGGTGTGGATGGAGCTCCTGGAGGAATACACAACCCCTTTCTCCACCTATAAATAATAGATTTGGAAAATCTACTTTGCATTACTTCCAGCAACTACCCCCGCTTGCCCTAATGCTTCTTCCAGCGTTTTCAGCGCATGGGAAAGAACAAAATAACAGCTCAGGGGTGGCTCTTCCCCCCCTCTCTGCCAAATCCTGCCTCCCGAGCAGCAGGATGTGGCCATCCCAGCGGGGATCGATGGGATGCAGCAGCGTTTCCTTCATGAAATGGAAATATCCCAGCCTAGGAGGGTGCCAGGGTCTGGCTGAGCCCGAAGGGTGCCGGATCTGCTGCCCTGGTGTGGGTGGGGATGCGAGGAGCTGTCTCATCCCGAGGTTTTCCGAGGGATGCTGGCAGCTCCCGCCGGCGCCGGCGCGGCACGTCCCGGGCAGAGCCAGGAATAGCAGGGAGGTCTTCATTTCTGGCCTTGAGGGAGGGCCACATGACTCCAATCCCGCTGCTCCGCGACTTGTGTGCCACGGAGCCCGTGGGCTCGGTCAGGCTTCAATAAAACGGGATTGAACGCCTCCCGTGGATGCCTCGCGCGGAGCCGCCGGCTGCCGGGCCCACCTCCAGCACCCAAAATCTGGCAGGTGCCGTGGCAGGAGTCAGCAGGTCCCATCCAACCTCCAGCAGCCGTGGGAGGGCTGGAAAGGCAGAGGGATGCCCATGGAATGAGCCCGTCCCACCCCACGGCTGGACGCCTGCAGGGAGCCCAGCACGGAGGGCTGCCCCTTGAGCCAGCTGGGAATGGCAAAGCAGGGCAGAAGAGAGAAAATTCCATCTTTTCCAAGCTCCCAGGGTTAAGGGTGAGGTTTTTCCAGCGAGCTCCACGCTTGCCAGCCGATGCCTGCAGAGATTGTCTCCAGCAGCAGACACTGACACAGGCAACCTATTTCTCCCTCCAGCCTCCTGAGCTCTGCAATGCAGCTTTCTTAAATATTGAATAAGTCTGCTGCTCTCACCACCTGCCAGTGCCAATGATGAGGTAATTTTTCCATTGACAAAGCCTGATGTGATTAATCCGGGTGGAAAAATGCAGATTTTGGGGGTCATCCACTCACCTGGAACACGCAGCAGCAGCCAGACCCCAACCAACCAAGCCCAGCTGCTGCCCTGGTGCCAAGTGGGAGATTATTGAGTGCCAGCAGCAAGCAGGAGGTTTGGAAGTGGGATGGATCCAAATTGATTCTCTGTTGGGATGGTGGGGTTTGCATGTTGGCACTGGAGTGGGTTTATGCTCCACAGCTGGAGCCAGGGATGGAAAAATAGGGGATGAGGATGGAATTGCCTGATGGGGCTCATTTTGGGGTGACAAGGACCCATGGAGACCGCCCCCCCACCCCGAGGTGAGCAGTGTGAGGAGCGAAAGCTGGGATGAGCCAGGGTGGAATTGTCTCCTCAGGGCACACATCCCGAAGCACCAAGTTTGGCTGGAAATCCCTCCCAGCTGCTGGAGACATTTCCAGCCATCTCCCAAGTCCATCGGCACCAGATCCCGCCCTGCTCCATGCCTGGCACCCAGGAAGGGCTGCAAAGCACATGGAATTCCAAATCCCACCCAGACACCTGGCACAGAGCCCACCCCCCACATCCAGGCTCGTCCCTTCCCAGGAAAAGGACTTTGCCTGCACCATTCCCTATGAACAGCATCACGGCTGTAGGGGCAGGCAGCAGCTCCTCACTGTCCTCTGCCTCCAGGCAGGATTTACCTGCAGAGCGGGGCAAAAAAGGGAAAATATCCCCCCAAATACCTGCAGGAGCAGCTGTGCAGCACTGCAAGATGATCAGCAGGTGACAGGGAGGGCCAGGAGGGCAGCCCAGCTCCGCAGGGTCCCACACGCCCCAACTCCCCCAAATCCCGACGTTCCGTCCTTCGGCTCAGCCCACGTGCAAATTCTTTTAGAAAGTTCGGGCAAGAATCGGGCAGGCTGCCCCATGGATGGTGCTCAGGGAGCAGCCCACGGCCCAGCTCCCCTTGGAAAGCAGCAGGGATGGGGCAGAGCTCAGCTGGCAGGATGCTGCTGGGGCTGGAGCTCCTCCTGGACACCTGGACAAGGGACAGGGGACAGCCCCAGGGGGAGCAGCAGGTGACACAGCCGTGGCAGCACACGCTGAGTGTTCCCCCATCCTCCACCAGCCACGGTGTGGGATCAGACCCCTGACTGCCCCACGGAATGCAGCTTTTGGGAAAGACCCAGAGCCAGCCAGCCCTGGGGTCACCTCATCCTTCAGCCCCACCATCGAACCCTCGCAGGGAACAGCAACCCCACAGCATCCCGGGTCGGTGTGGTGCTAATTAGTTAATTAAAGCTCAGTGTGACAGCCACAGCGCACAGGTGACAGTGACAGACCAGACAGGAGAAGCAAAGCGATGCCTCCAGTGTCCTCCAGCTAAATCCACACCACAGCCGCCGGGAGCCTTTGGGAACACCAATTCCTTTTGGCTTGCCTAATGGCACTGCTGCCTTTCAATTCCCACAAGGTGCTGGGAAAACTGCTTTTATTCCACTGCCTCGAATTCCCAGCTCCCCGTCATCCTCCAGACAAAGCTTCGTCCCAAGGCAGCTGAGCAGCAGCTCAGTCAATTTTATTTAAGCAGCACGTTGACATTTCCTCCAGCAGCTCCCTCTCAAACCAAACACTGTTAGGATGCTGTCACAAGGATTTACTCCCCTTGATTAATTACAGGAAAGACAATGGCAAAAAAAAAAACAAATTAAATAAATAAATAACCAACTCCTGGGTGTATCTGACTCACTCAGGCTGCTGGAGGGGCAGGTCCAGCTGAGGTCTGAGCACACCCCAAGCCCACCTGGTGCTGCCATCGCCCCTCAGGAGCTGTTTAGCAACGGGAAAATCCCTGCCTGGCTCGGGCACAGGGATGCCAGGGACAGGGAGGGTGGCCAGAGCTCCAGAATTCCAGCAGGGACCCAGCGCTGGCCCCGGCACAGCGACAGCGGCTGTGGAATATCAGCAGTGGGAAAAGGCTGGGAAGCACCAGCCGGGTGAGCTGGGAGGTGGCAGGTCCTGCTGGCTGCCCAGGGAGGGGGACAGTCCCCACAGGGTGTCCCAGGGATGGTGGAGGTGTCACCCCACAGCAACAGCGGGGGTGGCATCGCCAGGCTGGGGCAGAGGAGCCACGCAGGGCCGGCCCCCCACGCCAGGGCTGTGGGGAGGGGTCCCACTGCTGGGACAGCACCACAGTGTGACTGTCCCCCAGGGCCATGGGCAGAGAGCAGCACACGGCCACCGGCTCAGGGTCTGCACCAGCCTGGGACACTCCGGGCTCCCAGTTTCCCCAGTTCTCTCCTCCCCATCACCCCCTCCATACCTGGCTTCACGGAACCAGACGTGCCCCCATCAGTGGCACCCCAGATCCCGAGAGCTGCATCCAGACCTGCCAGGGCTGGAGAAGGGAACGTGAACCTTCCTCAGGCAGTGCAGCC